AATGTAGTTAGGAATTATGTTCAGCATTCTTTTCTAATGTCCATGACCTCACCATCCTCAGTAAGCTGGCCAAGTTTTCAGTCCCAAGCATGATTTTCCTCATCTTTAATTAAGTCCAATTAGACAGCTGTTGGTTGATACCAACATGTGAGTGTTACTTAGTGTATCTGTGTGCAATCCTATCATACTGGCCATTGTCATGGTTCACAGTTACTGCATCTGGATAGGACTGCTTGATCGTTTTCCTCCCTTGACAGCTTGCGTAGTATTTTCTGGTACCATTAGTCTTGAGTACAGGAGACATTCAGGTCTTATCCAACTCAAATTGTCTTAGGCTTGTGTCATAACTATGCATAGCCTTTAGCAAAACTATCCAATCTTCAACCCCTGAGAGGAATCCAAGGGTTACACCAACAGTCCATATAGTTTTGAGAGTCACTTGGACTACCCAGACCAAACATTTGAAAGGAGATTTCTCATGCTTTGAGTGAGGTTTTGTTAGTCTATAGTTCTTGTGGAGAGCATAGTCAGCCCAAATGACTTAACTTCATTTAAGCTACACACACACACACACACACACACACACACACACACACACACACACACACATATCAATTGTGTGTGATTCTAGGTAAATATAATATAACATGATTTCTTGTGGAGTTATCAAACAACCTCAACCTCAGTGTTGTTTCGCCCCACTTTGTACTTGTCTGTCTGTACTGATTTCCCTCCTTTCTCTTCATTTGGAACCCCTTCCATGCTTTTGCGTTGTCAGTTTCATTAATATCACCTGTATTATTCCCCTCTCAAGTCACCTTCCTCATTGCTTATACCGATGGTCCCTTTACACATTCCATGTTTCTGTGATTACTCCATGTTTGTATACTCACATGTCAGGATGTCCATCTAGGAGGAGAAATGAAAGCATTATCAAGAAAATGTTGCTTAGGGAGTAGAACAGAGGTCCCAAACAGAGGTAGAGAGTTCTGGTATACTTTAGCTGCCACTTGTGACCTCAGTGGGTAGCTGGTGGTGGCTATCTCATTCCTTCCTGTCCTGTTTTAAGGATATGACAGATGAAAGCAGATTCTTGCTACCAACCCCTCTGCTTGCTTTAGTGAGGAAGCTGTACCTTTAGATAGGCACTGCCTAGTAGCTGTCTGTAACTGTTTCCTTACGGCCATTTTAAACAATGCCATGGATGGTTCTCTAATTTACTTGGTTTTTTTTTAAATGGTTTTTAAAAATTAAATCTGCTAAATAAAATGGTATGAATATTATATGAGTAAAAAAAATGTAATCGAACCACATTCACTGGGGAAATCTTATCTCCAGTGTGATATGTGCTCTATTCTGGTATCAAGTATGGATCCTGCTGCCCTGGGAGTACCTGGTATTGAGGCTACAACTCCATGCATTGTTGTATACAACAGGATTTATGCAACTTTATCTGGCTACTTATGTTTGTGTGGAAGCCAAAGCATTCCTATACGCTCCTGTTTTAATGTTTATTTTCAAAGAATAATGGAATTGTTCATTGCTGGGAGAATGTTAATTTGTAGCTTTTAAAAAGTATTCCTGTTAAGTTTACTAATTGATAATCTTGGACTGGCAGAGCAAAAGTGAAAATATTTTATTAAAAATCTGGGGATCATTAGTAAAAAAAAAAAAAATGGGCTAGGGATCTAAACAGAGAATTCTCAGTAGAATAAATAAAAATGAGTAATAAGTACCTCAAAAATTAGTCATCATCCTTAGCAACTAGAGAGAGATGCAAATTAAACCAATTTTGAGATTTCATCTCATCTCAATCAGAATGGCTAAGAGGAGAGTTTTGAGATTATATGTGTTCATCATAGCAGGTGAAGTATAGTAGTTGATCACATTGCCTTCACAGTTAGAAAAAAACAAAAACAAGAAACAAATGAGAAACAGTGACAGATTCTGGAATTCTAGTTACTTTTTCTTTTTTATCCGGTCTTAAACTCTAGTCCATGGAATAGTGTCACTAACATTTAGCATTTCTTCACACCCCAGGTAAACCCAATTGAGAATCCTACCACAGACATGATTTGATATCTGTCTCCAAGATTATTAAAGATTTTGTTATGCTGACAATCAAGTATTAACCATCAAAATTCTAAACCCTGCCAACTTGACATACATCCATACAACTTTGAAGTCATCACTCTCCACCCCTGTTCTTAATGCTTGTGACTATCTTGTTATGCAAATCATATTCCATCCACTTCGTAAAGCCTTCCTGGTCTTCACTCCCAGCACTGTTCTGAGCCTTCATACCATCTCCTTAACTGTGAGATATTACAAACACACACACATACACACACACACACACACACACACACACACACACAGAGAGTCATAAGGAGTCATTTTAGTGCTGCTTTATTTTTTTTTAAGAACAGCAATATTTGGTCTTATCCTAGAAGTTCCTTGTGTCCTTTTCTTATAATGTCCTGTCAGGGCCTAGCTTTTAAATGTGATCCTATTACTTATATATTTTTTCTTCTCTCCTTGTCTCCTGTGTATATGTTACGGCTTCCAATTTAGTATTTTAAGGAATGCATGATTATATAAACGCATGGGTCTTTGCATCTATATCTGCTTCTGGTGTCTTCTCTTTGGGCTCGTTTCAGTTTATTTTATCCTATCCTGATATGTTAGTTTTTATCATATGACATTATTAGAAGCCTGTTTTCTTTTTCTAATGAAAGACAGAAAGGAGGTGATCTGGGTAGAAGGGAGGTGGGGAGAAATGGGGAGTAGTAGAGGGAGGAAAACCAGTAAACAGGAAATAATATGTGAAAAAATCTATTTCAGTAAAAGGAAAAAAATACATAGAACAAGAGAGAAATGGTCCAGAAACTCATTCAAATATTACTAAGGCATTCTACCATAATATCAATGTATATTCTTCAAACATGGAGGAAAGAAAAGATATGAGACATCATGAAACATTAGCAGGCCATGGAAGGAGTCTTCATATGGTAGAAATGTCTAACATGACAGGCAAAGTTGTCTGCATGAACAGGCCATGTTATGTGACTAAAGATACAATGTTCAAGGACAGACTAGTTGAGTTCCTACCAACATGCCAACTTCTGTTTCAGAGTGAACGCTGGAACCAAGTAAACATTAATTCATAATTCTCAAATACATGGAGAATAGTTAGCCACTGTGTGGAGGAGGATACAGAACTCTAAAGGGAAATAGGTTTTAAACTTATCCTAGGAGTTGATGATTATATAAACCACAGACAGTATCCAGTGTACATTATCTTCTTAAAAGGCAACTGTGCTGAGGCAGGTATGTGGTAGAGGCATATGATGCATTTCATAGGTGGAAAGTATTGGTTAAAAGAATGGGATATAAGTCTAGTGTATATATTTGGGAGACATGATATCCTGTATGAGTAGGCATTGTTCATTCAGCCCTATGCCCCAGAAAAGTACAGCCAACAGGGAACTAGTGGCCAGAGGGCCTGCCTGGAGCAAAAATCTGGACTAGGCAAGTGTAAAACTTCCTTGTTCTCTGTTCACCAATGGCTAGGACAAGCAGTGGGAGTTACTCTACTAGCTATCTGTATCCATGGCCTGTGGAAATGCCACAGGATGAAGAGCAAATGGACTAATGAGGAATAAGAAGTGTATTATTGAAAGCTAAATAATGCAGTATCCCCACCCACACTGTTGTAACCAGAATGTTCTTTGAAAGAAATAACTGCAACAAACATTGAGATCTTTGAGATCTTGCTAATTTGTTTTATACCACGTTTACTTGGATGCTGAATATCAATATCAGTTTGCATTTGTTTGAAATAAGCAGCAGTGCTCTTTCAGAGATTACCTTCATTCTCTGAAAAAACACTTCATTTTATAATACTAACATCCAGTATCATATAGATATGAAAACCCAATCAAAGGAACAGAAATGATAGCAAGTGTGGTAGGGAAAAGTATTCCCTCAGGCATAAGCTTATTCAAAAATCCCAGTGGAGAGCAGTTGGCTTGCTATGCATGTCAGGGAGAGAAGTCCCTATGGCCTATCACACCATACAGGCTGCTGCCATTGATACTGCACTATACCACAAGTAAAACGTTAGAGATTATTGCTGAAGATACCATATGACTATGGAGAACACAAAAGCTGAGACTGAGCTGGAGGTCCCATTCTGCTGTCTGAATTTCACGATGCCAGACAGCACTCAGCTTGATATTGGGTCAAGTATCTCAAAGGGCCTAACCAACCCCTGATTAACACAATTCATGCAATAATTAACATAATCCATGCAAGATGTATTTATCTGTTCCATGGTAATGAAACTCTCATGTGAAGAGTCAACTACTTTCTGATTGTCTACAGGAGGAACTGGTGTTTTCTTTAGCCGCTACAATGTCTTCCAAGAGGACGACTTTTTTAATTGTTTCACTAAATGCATATGATACACCTATTAAATATATTCTAATTGCATTTTTGCAACTTCTATTTTCAGCCTTGTGTATAGAGGTAAACTCTGTACAATATCTAGTAGATATTGGCAAATCTTAAAGGTTAAACTACTGAAAATAAGTGACTCTTGTCTGATGTTCAAATGTTAGGAAACTGATAAAATACATATATCATTCTAGTGAGGTTCTGAGGATATTACAGAGATGGCATGACTGTATAAGAATATAAAGAGGAAGGCCAAGAATTGAGGCCTATCAATTCTCCCTGTATTAATCTTTAATACAAATTCTACTCCTGTCATGGCCAACACATAAGCAAAGGAATGCATACATAACTAGGTCTATGGTCACGCTAATGAGGCCATTACAATGCCCTTAGGGAGCAGTCACAGGAATCTCAGGTAGGATTCTAGCCTGAAGGTGCTGCTGTAAGGGAGTATATAGGAGGTGGAAAGTTAGATGAAGGGAAGCCTCCAGTGAAGAAGCTTTCCCCCTGGGGTATCCAAGCTGCAGTGAGACTTCTCAGAGATGCGTTTGTCTTTGATTCCGCAGTGCTCCTCCTGTAAGTATCACTTTTACTCTCATTTCTCTACATACAATTAAGAAATGCATTACTTTACCAAGTTGAGTTTGAGTGGCCTATGCTTCTAACGTCCTTGATGTCCTATCTGGGAAGAATTCTCTCTCTTTTCATGGCTTACCAGAAGTAAGGCAGCAAAGATATGAGAAGAATTTTTTCTTAATCACTCTAATGCAGTTGCACAGCAAACTCTTAGACCAGTAGGGTTTTTTTTTTTCATAATTTAATTTATCTTTTAAAGAGGAGTCTTCCTTCTCCTAGAGACATGTGTCACTGTCTTGAAGCATTTTGCATTGTCTTAATTGACCTGAGTTAGAAGCTAGAAGTGTTTCTGGTACCTAGTGAGTGGACACGAACAATGCTTCTGTGCAGCTTCCATGCAAAGAAAAGTTACAAATCAAGGTTTGATGAAAAATTCAAAATTGGAGAAATGGAGATGTTTGTTAAATTAGAATACAAAGAGTCTTTACGCAGTCTTTTTTCCAGGGTTATTTCAATGGCTTTCTAGATATGAATGAATCTAAAGAAATTTTCAATGCAGGAAACTGATACAGACAAGTCTAGCAGTGGGCATTACACAGTTTTCACAATTTCATCCAAACAAAATATCAGTTCAAAACAAAAGCATGTTAGGGTTAAGAATTTGTCTCTAGAAACTTGTTGATATTTTCAAGAATAATCAATTAGTAATAATGATAAAATAGATTTTCCAAAATGGAAAACCAAAATCATTTGTCTCTAAAACTCACCTTAAGGTGTGAAGGTCTTACAGATAATGAATATAAAGAATGCATGTGGGCATGTATTATAAAGAGATATATGTTGTGCTTAAAATAAAATTTGGAAATTATTGTGAATTTAGAAACTTTAACATATGTAACAAATTATTTGACCATATGATTTTTTTAATTTTTTGTTATTTTTATTAATTACAGTTTATTCACTTTGTATCCCAGCTGTAGCCCCCTCCCTTTCCAATCCCACACTTCCTCTTTCTTCTCCTATGCTTCTCCCCCAATCCAATGATAGGGGAGGTCCTCCTCCCCTTCCATCTGACCCTAGTTTATCAGGTCTCATTAGGACTGACTTCATCTTCCTCTGTGGACTGGTAAGGCTGCTCCCCCCTCAGGTGGAAGTGATCAAAAAGCCAGCCTTTGAGTTCATGTCAAACACAGTCCTTGTTCCTATTATTGGGGAATCCTCTTTGGACACTAAGCTGCCATAGGCTACTTCTGTACGGGGGTTCTAAGTTATCGCTATGCATGATCCTTGTTTGGAGTATCAGTCTTAGAAAAGACTCCTGTGCCCAGATTTTTTTTTTGGTTCTGTTGCTCTCCTTATGGAGCTCCTGTTCCCTCCAGATCTTTCTATCTCCCCCTTCCCCCTGCACTCTGCAAAAAGTTCGGCTATGAATCTCAGCCTAATATCCAGAATATATAAAGAACTTAAGAAGTTAAACAGCAAAAAATCAAGTAACTCAATTAAAAATGGGATACAGAGCTGAACAGAAAATCCTCAATAGAGGAAAATCAAATAGCAGAGAAACACTTAAAGAAATATCAACATCCTTAGTAATCAGGGAAGTGCAAATCAAAACAACCCTGAGATTTCACCTTATATCCATCAGAATGGCTAATATCAAAAACTCAAGTGACATCACATGCTGGAGAGGATGTAGAGAAAGAAGAACCCTCCTCCATTGCTGGTGGGAATATAAACTTGCACAACCACTTTGGAAATCAATCTGGCACTTTCTCAGACAAATAGGAATAGTGCTACCTCAAGACCCAATTATAAAACTCCTAGGCAAATATCCAAATGATGCTCAAGCATACAACAAGGACATTTGTTCAACAGTGTTCCTAGCAGCTTTATTTGTAATAGCCAGAATCTCCCAAGACACTAACCTACCTGAGGAGGAAGACTAGCTCACCCTGGCTCCAGTTTCAGTGAAAGTAGAAATGTTTGAAGAAATATAGAAACATTTTTAGGAGAAACAGGAAGATGCAGGAAGTCTTCCATTTTCTTTTCAAACTATAACCTGTGCAGGTATAATTTTTATCTAAATATATAACACAGAAGAAATTATTCCTCCACTCGGACAAAAAGTATTAACTTGTGTAGAGCAGGAGGGCATCTTATGCTTTCCTAGACAGGGTGACTATTGATAGCCTCATAGAATAAGACCTTAAAATGGCTCCTCTTCTTTAACAGGGACGCTGCTCTTGCTGCTGGTATCCAGCCTGCTCCTGGAAGGGAACATGGCCTCTGCTAGGAAAAGTAGACTATTCAATGTCCTTAACAACAAATCCTTTGGAGACATGTTGGAGGAGGCAATCAAGTCATCTCAGAAAATGAATGGCCTAATTTTTTACCTGTGCAATCATTTGGTAAGAATCCTTACTAATCTCTGGAGTAGTTATGGTCTCTTTTTTATGGCAGTGAAAATGAAAAGGTAAGAGCATCATAGCCCAGTTTCAACATATTCTCATGGGGAAAACCTTAAGCTATTGAAATATAAAATAGGAGAACATAACGCTTTGATGAAATGTCAAATGTTTGCTAAGAATACAATGGTTTTTTTCTCTATATTTCAAATTTTACTTTAATTTACTCTTGTTACATAAAGTAATAAGGTATAAGGCTGCGGAAGTGTTTTGGTTTCCTATTCCTCTGTATAGGGCACATAAGTCCTTTGGTATGCTTCATTTAGGATGCTATACAGATCCAATAAAGAAGACTGTTTCACAGAAAATTTGGGGCAATGAACAGAATTAAAAAGACTAAGAATAAATAAGGCAAAAAGAAAAATAAGTAAATGACTAGAGAAATCCCCCAATGCTACGAACTGTCATTGAAATAATTTCATGACATTAGTCTAGGGTCAAGTTTAGAGCTGAAAGCCGTTATCCTACACATAGTGAAGGTCATTTAAAGGCAATACACAATCTATTTTACAATAGTATAAGGAGCAACAGTAAATAGGACTTTAACACATCAATTAGCATTTGAGAATGTATCTCGAAGTATATAACAAATACATTTCTATCATACATTATGCTTACTACTGTTTCAATCACCTCATATTCATAATTACTCCTGAAATCCTTTCTAACTATCATGAATTTTCCTAGGTACAGTTCTGATGCTAATGCGTTGAGTAAATATACTGAAATAAAGGCAATAATTAAATAATGACATGTTGGATAATGCTTATACAATCAATATTTTTTTCTATTTTTAACTGGTGCATTGTTTTATAATTTCAAATATAATGTACTTGGTGGTAGGCCTCACTTTGCCATAACGTTTTTTGCAGATGCAGTGCGATGTGAAAATGGAATTCTACTAGTATGATGCCTAGTTAAGAAAGCATAAGTTTGGATCAAAAAGAAATTTAAAAATTAATAATTAAAAATATATAAGAACTTTGGCAGTGGCACAAATACCAATCAATTATTACCATATTACAACACTTATTTTTGCAGTTTGGTAGGTTTTAGTGTCTGCTTACCAAATAGAAAAAAAGAGAGAGAGAGAGAGAGAGAGAGACAAGGGAAAGAGGTTGAGAGATTAGAAAACTGGATGATTCAAAAAAACATGATTGCAATGAAATTGGAAATAAATATGTAAAAGGTACTTGTCTAATTCCTTATTTTCATTTTTTTAGTATTGTTTACCTTTATGTTTTCATATCTTCAAATTCCTTAATGCCCAAGTTACTGATAAACTGACTTCATTTAGAAATGACAACTAATGGAGTATTTGTGATTTTAGGATACATATTATGTCAAAAACCACGGATTTAACCAGAGGACCACCAGATGCCACACTTCTTCCCTGTCTAGTCCACAAACCAAAGAGCAAGCCCAAAAGATCCAAGTGAGTTCTCAGCCTTCGTTTGTCACCAAAACAACTGAAGCAGTGCACTGGCTTTGGCAAGCATTCATATTATTTATATTATAGTATAGTATAATAGTATATGATAATCACACTTGCAGAAAAAACAGAGAAGGAATATGAAATCAAAGAACAATCTTAATGAAATGTATTTGTAAAAATCATTGATAAGTAATATTATAGCAGATCTATAAACTATCCATTCAGAAAGCCCATTTTATCAGTGTCTTGCCTATAACATTATACTTACTAGTCTGTAGTAAATGTGAGCCACCTCTAAAGCCATGGTTCAGTATGTCCTGATGAATATGCAAATGAAGCAGTAATAGAGTTGTGTTCATCCTATGTCACACTAGGTCCTGTGTTGGCAGAATATTTTTATTCAGTTTACATCCTGGTTGTAACCCCATCCCTCCTCCCCTCCCAATTCTATCCTTCCTCCTTCACCTCTCCCCTTCCACTAGTCTTCAAAAAAGGGAAGTCCCCTTTCCTATCCACCATAGCTCATCAATTCACATCAGGACTGAGCTTGTCATCTTCCCCTGTGGCCTGGCAAGGCAGTCCCACCAGGGGGAAGTGATCAAAAAGCTAGCAAAAAAAGTACCTGTCAGATGTAGTGCCTGCTTTACTGTGGACCCACATGCAGCAATTTAACATTTCTGAATACTATGCAGTCTATTCTTAACACTCATGTTTCCCCTGGATCTACTTCTGCTTCATTACATAAGTGCCCATTCCTCTCTGATCTCTTTAGCTTTACCTATGTTATTACAGGAAAAATGGAAGTCACTTGAAAAGAGGAGTCCTGTAAAATGCAATATGATGTTCCTCAAGATAAAACTCACCCCTGTTGTCATGAAGAGTTTATATGCCATGCTGACTCCAACTTATAATGGTTATTATTTCTCACTTCTAATTCCCTTCCATGAAGCAATTTAAGTAATTTACAGTGAGTGTTATCATATATCCAGAATGTGTCCACAGATATACCCCACTTTCCTTCTTTTCCTTAACTAGACCAACATTTTATGTTTGCATTCTTATTTATAATAAAAAATAATAATGATGATAATAATATAAAGTTAAAAAAAGGAAGTCAAGGAAGTAATGACAATTGTTCAAAGATACTACTTTGCTAGAAACTTCATAAAACAGTCTTATTTTATGTCTGAATTTAAACTTGTAAAAATTCTATAACATGAGGACTGTGGTTAAAGTTTAAACTTATAAAATCTGTACCAACAAAAGAATGTTCCAAACATGTATGTGAATGATCAAAGATGAGCCTATTTCAGCTACCTGAGGGAAATCTGTCTCTATCTAACACTGTTCTACTTCCTTTATTCTAATGGGTTTGTTCAATTGTGGTTGCTTAGTCGGATGTCCTACTGAAGTTTGCATACAGTCTATTGAAAGCCTGGGTCAATCCTCTGAACCATCTGTGGGGTGAAATGCATATCAGGCTGGGATCCACTCCTCCTACCCTCACAAGAGCCTTGGAGCTTAAAACTGAAAACAAAAATATCCTAGAGACCATGAAGAAGATCGCCCTCAAGGTAAGTAGCTTCCTAATTTTCTTTGCCTTTCTGTGTAAAAGCAAATACATTTTGAAACACTTCCCTTTGCAACAAAAATGGGGTATCCAATTAAGTCAACATCTTTATTACAATCCATATAACACCCAACCTTCTCAAAGACACTTTACTCAGCGCCTGACTTCCCAGGGACCTCAAAAGAAAAGAGCTGCTCCCCCCAGCGATTTGGGTAACTATCCCAACAGATTTGGTTAGAGTCAGTGCTGGACTATCTACATCTTAATGTGCCAGTTACAATCTTCATTGAGTCTAGAGATTTGTTCACAAATACTATGTGGAGCATTTATTTGGTAGAAAGGAAGAAAAGAAGAGTAGCATGGTGTCTGGATCCATAAAACACAAAGACAATTCAGGAACAATCCTAAAGAACTGTAAAGTTTATTAATTGACAGAATTTATGCTAGAAACCTCCAAGTTCCTTGATATCAAATGATTAGCTGCCCATCTGTCTGCTCCTTTGCTACATGAGACTTCTCCTGGGAAAACAGAAGAAAAACAAGTCTACTCACCCAAGAAAGGGAATCCAGGACAGAGGAAAGTAACAACTACACTGAAGTCCCATTTGGTGAAACAATATGTTTTTACTAGAGTTGTAACAGGAACAAGGTTGAGTTACTTGCAAAAGGAGGGAGTGACTCAAAAGACAGCCACATCACAGAAAACTCCCACCCCAACCCCCAACCCAGGCAACAATCAGGAGAGCTAAAACCTTAGATGTCCCTGAACAACTTGCAGGAAGCAGGGAGAGGTCTGAGAGACCTTCTCTCTACAGTTCAGTGGGCCAGCATCTACACCACTAGCATTCTGTGAAGCTGGGAGGAAGGATCCTTGAAAATCTTCTGAGATTCTACTTTCCCAGACATAAAATGGCGGGGATTTTGCAGGAATTTTTGTTTATTTTGTTTTGTTTTATTTTGTTTTGTTTTTTAGTCCTTTGAACCTGCCCCCTGTCTTTGAGGCAATGCTTGATTGGGAGCAAATTATACAATGTCCAGGAAAAACAAACATCAGGGGACATTTCATGTCACAAAATATATGAATCTGCTCCACCTCTAGTATTAAATGGCTGCCATATTTAACTACTCTGTTTCATATAAATGAAAATCCATAGGTTTGGCTGAAGTTTTACAATATTAACCTCTCACAAAATTGAATTTACCATGTAGAAGAAATGGAATCCCAAACTCCCATTCCATAATTAATACTTAACTATTATTTTGGTCATTAGGGTAACTTTATAATTGGAGAAAATGAGAACTCCCCTACCTGGAATGACTTGGGATACTTGCAATCGGCCGACAGAAACACTAAATATTTTGCATTTTATAACATGTTTCACTGCCTGAGAAGAGACTCACATAATGTGGAAATGTATCTGAAGCTCCTGAAGTGCCGACTGACCCATAGCAACTGCTAAGAGCAAATTCTTTTGTTCTCCCTCCGTGATAGTACTTGATGCACTTGTGTAATTGCTCTGTTCTTTAAAAATAAAAAAAAAAGAAAAACTAAGCAAAGCTGCTCAATATATCTTTTGTTGATTTAAAATAAAGTCTACTAAAAACATAGATGGGTTTTTATCAAAAATATCACAGATATCAGAACTTACCCTGGCAAATACTTATACTTTACAATATAACCTTAGGATCACAACATGTTACATGAATGAAGTTGCTAGAATCAAAGAGTGCTATTGCAATCAATCAGCCCATCTATATTCCATAAACATGGGGATCTTGAGTTATATTATGAAAAATAGCTGCTCTCTATCACCTGACATTTGTGGCATATCCACTGACAATAAAATTACAATGCAACTGTACTGTTCCAAAGCACTGTAAATTTTTCAAAAAGTCTAAAACTTGAGGACATAAACATGAAGTGTCTCTGGGTTTCATTACAACTGTCTTTAACCCTGATCCTCTGAATTCTCATCTTTTATCACCATCTTAGGCATAAAATATGTGCTCTTGTCACTCTTGGTCTACAGAGAGTTCTTAGGAATAGTTTTAACTTTATCTCATTTATTAGTTACAACCCTGTTTTTCTCTGATGCTTTAAGTCACAGAGTTAGAAAGGCAAATGATCGATTCTACAATGTTTCTTCTACTTACTTCTTCCAGATCTCTTCTTTTTCTCTTATTACTTTCAATCTTCTCTAGCTCAGATCTTTAAATATTGTATGATGGTCAGACTGGTTTACAGCACATACCATGCAAGAGTTTTGCAGCGGTTTCTAGACAATGGAAGCTAGCTCAGTCAACGTTCTTACACACATTACAAATAGACTTAAAAATATGGCTGATAAGATGGCCTTAGAATACTAACCTTGGTGAAACTCTAAGTGCATCTAAGCATTTAAACTCTAATAACAAATAATATCATCAGTTCTCTTCAGTTGCTGGCTCTTTGATCACCTACCCCTGAGGGGAGAGCAGCCTGACCAGGCCACAGAGGAAGACTATGAAAGACAATCTTGATGAGACCTAATGGGCTAGAGTCAGATGGAAGTGGGGGGGTCCTCCATTATCAGTGAACAGGGGAAGGGGCATGGGAGGAGATGAGGGAGGGAGGGAAGTTGTGATTGGGAAGGAATGAGGGTGGGGCTACAGCAGGGATACTAAGTGAATAAATTGTAATAAATAAAAAATTATACTAAAAAATCAGTTCTCCACCCACCTCCTTTTACTATTCTTTTTTATTTCATGAATTTTTTCATTGCATTAGAAATATGCATTATTTTCATCTACTGAATGGCTATAATCCAGAAACAAATGGAACTCAGAAGCTTTGAAAGTTAGAATTTAAAAGAAAGCTGGCTTCAGATTAGAGAGAGAGGGGGAGAGAGAGACTTTCAATGGTTAAAGTTGTCCATCCAACCTGGTCTCATCCCTCATTGTCAGGGCTGTTTTATCTGAATTCTGCTCTTGCCAGTAACATTAATGATCACATCTTTCAGAGCACAGCATAACATGCCCCAAACAAATCTGTCAATCTTTCTATTACCTCTTAGATACAAGCAAACTGTCAGCTCACTCTGATCTATTCTAGTCTTCTTTCTTTAGCAGTAGGAAAGTAACTGAAATCCAATCAAAATTTATATATGTGACATGTTCTGTTAATAGTATCAAATGTTACTCTGCTTTCCAAGTAGATTTCTTCCATAAATCCATGCATATTTCCAACACAGACCATGGTATCTAAAGAATGGGTATTTGTCAGGGAAAAACACTTTAATTTAGGGGGGCGGAGCCAAGATGGCGACTAGCACACACAGTTTCCGAGCTGTGGAAGAGATAAAGTTCTGAGTTGATGAGTGGAAGAACTTCTGAAGCCAGGGAAACAACGGAGAGACTTTCTAAACAACAGGGAACATCGCAGGAGGTGAAAACCTTGGTCTCGGGTCACCCAGGGACTTGTTTGGGGAAGGTGAGAAACGATCCTTTGATCTCTCGGCACTCCCCTCCCCCAGACCTCCCTCCTCCTCGGCACAGCAGACTCGCCTTTCTCAGCGCAGACCTAACTGCCTGGGGCCTGCAGCCACTGAGGCGGAGCCCCAAGCCCTTTATCGGCAAAGGCCAGCAGTACTGTGTCTCGGAGCCCCAGATTCACGCGCGGCGGCTGCACCATCCTCCCAGGGCCCGAGTCTGCTAGACGCCATACTAGCTCCACAGGAGCGCCATCACTGACGGTACGGCCCACCCAATCCCACAGTGACAGAGAATACGCTATATACTCACCAAAACCAGACAGAAACGCCATACAAGCTAGACACACCAGGTGCTGGGCCTCCGAAGCTTGGAGAGCACAGTGAAGAGACCCCAGGACTTCCCAGAAAGCATCTGGACTAGCAACCCGGCCTCCAGTTACAGCGGGACTTTCTAACCTGGCGGCGGAGCAGCACTGAGCTGGCGGGGCACATCAGCCCTCCAGTTTAAGACTAACCAGGGCCAAACCAGAGAACAGAAAGGCTGGTTACCCCGATTCCCACTGACATGACCACCCTGAAATCTCCAGCTGCAGCAAGACCTCATAACCTGGCAGTGACAACAGCACGGAACTGGCGGAACACATCAAAGAAGCAGGGCCAAACCAGAGAGCAGAGAGCTCAGATACGCCGATCTCTGCCAAGTGTCCTGCCTGTAAGTGAGTGCACCCTTGAGAATCTGCAGCTCCACTGATCCTGGGTTCTTCTAAAACAGAAGCCAGGCATCAAACCCCCTCCCACCCATATACCGACTTTGGGAAACAGAGGGGCACTTGGAACATTGAAGTTCCTGCTCTGTGGGTCTAATTGAGGAGTTAAGGCAATTAATGCCAGAAATTGCGCTGCGATCATCACTAGCGCCTGCGACATATACATTGCAGAGCCCCTCCCACACACTCAAGGGTTCAACATTAGCCATCACTCTGTCCCTCGAGACACACGCCCACACCCACTTACACACACACACACATATACACACGCACGCACGCACGCTTGCATTTGCCTCTGTTTGCGCCTGCGTACTTTCCTCCCACAGGTACAGCTAGTCCTCAGAATACGCTAAGGACACAGGACCTCTCTCAACTTCCTGAAGAATTCTCCAGACTCGAGAGAGAGACAGTACCAGTCTGATCGGCAGAATCCAAAAACAAACAGGGAAGGTCTCAGATAAGCCAATGGCCAGGGGTAGGCGAAAGAACACTTCCAACATAAATCAGGACATCATGACTTCACCAGCAAACCCCAAAATCGATGGATACTCCAATTCATCAGAAGCACAGGAAAATGACCTTAAAGCCATGCTTGCTCAATTATTTGAGGCTCATAAGGAGGAAATGAACAAATCTTTCAAAGAGTTGGCCAGTCAATTGGAGGTAAAGAAAGAAGAAATAGACAAAACCCTTAAAGAAACACAGGCAAACATAGCCAAACAAATAGAGGCACAAGTAGAGGAAAAATTAGTGGCATACAAAAAGGAAATGAACAAAGAAATAGAGTCCATCGTAGAGAGACAGGAATCCAAATTCAAACACATAAAAGAAATGGTGCAAGGCATGAAAACAGAATTAGAATCAATAAAGAAAACACAAAATGAGAAAACTCTTGAGCTGGAGAACTTGGAGAAAAGATCAGGAACCACAAAAGTAAGCATCACCAACAGAATACAAGAGATGGAAGAGAGAGTCTCTGGAGCTGAAGACACACTTGCAGAAATTGATACTTCTCTCAAAGAAAAAGTAAAATCAGAAAAATTCCAATCACAAAATATCCAAGAAATCAAGGATGCTATGAAAAGACAAAATCTAAGAATAATAGGAATTGATGAAAAAGAAGACTCCAGGCTCCAAGGTCCAGAAAATATTTTCAAGAAAATCATAGAAGAAAATTTTCCCAACTTAAAGAAAGAGATGTCCATAAATATACAAGAGGCCTACAGAACACCAAATAGACTAGACCAGAAAAGAAACACATCACGTCACATCATAGTCAAAACACTAAATCTACAGAACAAAGAAAAGATATTAAAAGCAGCAAGGGAAAAAGGCCAAGTAACATATGAAGGTAGACCTATCAGAATCACACCAGACTTCTCATCAGAAACTATGAAAGCCAGAAGGGCCTGGGCAAGCATCATGGAGACTCTAAGAGATCACAAATGTCAACCCAGACTACTATACCCTGCAAAGCTTTCAATCAACATAGATGGAGAAACAAAATATTCCATGACAAAACTAAATTTACACAATATCTATACAGCAAACCAACCCTACAGAAGATACTAGAAGGAAAACTCCAATGCAACGAAAACAAATTCACCCAAGAAAACAGGGCATACAGATAATATCCCAACAAAAAGGAAAAGAAAACAAGCAATGAAACAAGGTAAGATCATCGACTCCATTACAAAAGGAACTAACATGCATTGGTCAATGTTATCTATCAATATTAATGGACTCAACTCACCAATAAAAAGACACAGGCTAACAGAATGGTTACGGAAACAGGACCCAACATTCTGTTGCATCCAAGAAACACACCTATGCAACAAAGATAAACACTACCTCAGAGTAAAGGGCTGGAAAAATGTTTTTCAAGCAAATGGTTCCAGAAAACAAGCTGGAGTAGCCATCCTAATATCTAATAAAATAGACTTTCAACCCAAGTTAATCAAAAAAGATAAGGAGGGCCACTATATTCTCATCAAAGGAAAAATCCAACAAGAGGACATCACAATTTTGAATATCTATGCCCCAAATACAAGAGCACCTACATTCGTAAATGAAACAATATTAAAGCTTAAATCATACATTGATCCTAATACCTTAATAGTGGGAGACTTCAACACCCCACTCTCATCAAGGGACAGATCAACCAGACAGACACCAAATAGGGAAATAAAAACACTCACAGAATCCCTAAATCAAATGGACCTA